CTAAAATGTTGCTTTGCTAGTTTGTTAAGAAAATGTTTCAATTTTTAAGACATTGTTTCACATGCCATTTTCTATTATAAAACAAAAAATTAAGAATTTAAAATATTTCAATGTTGTCACCACTAGGTGTTTAAATTCAGCTGACATGAATTTTTTTCATTATTTCTTCAGAGAATTTTCTAAATTTGGGGTTTCATTCCTGCTCAGAAGCAAGCCAAATTCCAAAATCCTTTGTACGTACCAGCTTCCACACAAAATTGCTTTTTAATCCTCTCAAACTGGCATTTGCCACAATGGCTAGGTACAGACAGTCAAAAAGCCCGAGGCTGAATTGATTCAGTCTTTGCAGGCTAGTGTAAGATGCACAGATTAAATTGAAACAGAAGTGAATGGACATTTACCTTTGATTCAGGAAATGCAGCCATATGCCTGCAGTGGCGCAGGCCAGAAGCCAGTAGGTGCTAGAGCACAGCTCTTTGGCTGTGTTCACTTCCTCTTCCTGTTGCCCCTGAAGTCTCTGGGACTTGCAGTCCAGAATTACAGCAGCAGGACTCTGCAGGGTTGCTCATGACTTCCTCTTCCTGCTTCCAGGTGCCTCTGGAATTTGTAGTCTACAGTTGCAGCCAGGAGTAAGTTTGAGTGGGGGAAGTGGTGTTTAACCCCCCTCCCTGGCCCCAGCTGGGTTTTGCCTGGGGTGGGGGCAGTCCTCCCCCCCACCCATAGACTGGGCTGTATCCCCAACCAGGCTCGTCAGCCAGCCCTCACTGCTCCAGCTAGCAAGCAGAGGAGTGAGACCAGCCCTGCTTTCTAGAGCAGACAGCACAGTTTAGGCCAGGGCTGCAAAGCATGCTGTGGGAATGTGATTTAAGTTGAATCGGGAAGGGGTCTGGGACAGAAGTTTCATAAACCAGTTTGACCCAAATCAGTTAAGTCTGAACTACATTCAACCAGGTTTATCTTAAACCAGTTTCAGCCATTTTGAAACTGATTTATGTGCACTGAACATCTGTTCTCTTGCAGGTTTAAACCAGTTTCTGATCACTTAAACCAGTTTATGTGTAACTTCTCTCCCTAGCCAATGTGAGCTTAAGGTTCAAAAAGAGATACTATATTCTATGTTGATCCACCACATCTCTGGCAATGTTTTATCAGACTTGGAATTCAAAATCAACCTTCAGCAACTTCCCAAGGGACTGCCAAGCTGGCAAGTCAAGATGATCTTTACAGAAAGCTGACTAAAATGGCCCTGGACCTTCTTGAGGAAATTCTTGAGTTGTTGCTTATGATAGGTGTTTCCTAATGAAGGTGGCTCCACTTTATTAGCAACCAGATGTTTTCCTTTAACATGTACAGTGCACTTGGCCACCTAAATTATTCATTTGATTACTAATTGCTCAGACTCAGTGATTTATTTTTCATCTCTTTTATTGCAGGCATGAATACAGGAACAGGTAAATAGCTGAGCTGTAAAAGTCTCTCTCAAGGCATGTTTCAACTAAAATGCCATTGTACTTTCTTGTTCTCTTTTTCTTGACATAGGTTTCTGCTCAACTGTATTAAGCTGAATCAGCAACCTTAATTTAAGCTGTCACCCACCAAGCCATAATGGCAGCGGCCAAAGAAGCTTCCTTTACATCTCTTCTCACATTATCTGAAGATTCCTTTACAGCACTTAACTTTACAAAACACAGTTGTAGGGCTGATCTTGCATGCAATCAACAGATCAGTCTCAGTATATTTATTGCAAACTCCTTGAACATATGACATCAAAAAATGAAATAACAATATTCCATTGTATAGTTACAAAGATGTGGTTTGTGGAACCAGTGGACCAGAAAATCAATCCAGGAAAAAAATGAATGTTTTCCAGAAACAGTTAAATAAAATGTGATTTGCCTCCATTAAAATGCTTTGCTGGATTGCTTGCTTTGTTTCAAGTGGCTGCATTGGCAAACTGTTGCAGGAGGAACCTAAAAACCTGAATGGAATATTTTAAGAAAGGCTTGATTTTCAAGGATGTAAATGTGTTCATAATGTTGAAGTCTCTGCACACTGTACAATCTGATACGGACTTGAGACCTTGAACAACCTCTCTAAAGAAAACTTCGTGTTTGAAACAAATGGCAAGTAGGCAAATACTTAACCACACAGAAAAGTATGCAGCTGTTTGGCTTCCACAAGAGATTGCAATAGGAGAAAATACTCTTTGCATAGGTATTTAAAAGATCAATCCAAATTCTGATGGAATCATTCAGACATGGAAACATTGTGTGTTGCCCCCTAAAGAAGGAAAACACAAAAGAAGTCAAAGCTTTCAGGATCTGTCAGCAGTCAAAGCTAAATTTGTAAGTCTGTCCCTAAAGCCAGGTCTGCACCTGAGAGGTTTTGCTGGTATAGCTATATTGGCATGCTGTACCAGCCATGCACTCCTATAATGGCATAAAACTACACTTTTGCCAGCGGAGTTAATTCTAACCCCTTAAGCAAAATCAGCCATACTGGCAAAATAAATGTGGTTTGCCAGTATAACTGCACTGCCACTAGGCAGTAGGCACTTGGCACGGCTCCATCGATCACAAGTCAGACCTCTACCGTGTGACTGACACGGCTGTGCAGACACAAGTTTGTAACATAGACCTATTCTTAGAAACTGAGAAAACTGAACTTAAAACAACTATCAGCTACTTCTCTCTGTTGCCACCAGAGATGCTGAAAAGGTGCTATGTTAGCTTACATGGTAACTTAGCCCACATTGAGCTTTGTGCTATGGTGGCTAGACTGCTATTGGTACATGAGCTAGCTAGTTTAAAGCTAACTTGGATATGTCTACTCTACACCGCAAATCACAGTGTAAATACTGTATACTAAGGCAATGCATACTGTAATGCATCATAACCTGGTGCAGCTAGAGTTTAGGGGAAACCTAAGTTTTGACTTGACCAACTAGCACACCTTGGAGCTCATGCTTCCTTGCTTCCTGGTGAATTTTAGCTAACTTGTTTACCATGACCATCTCTCAATGCAGCCAAGGTAAAGATGTGCATTCAAAGGTTTTTCAGAAGGGAGCGGAATTGGTTAGTGTAGTTAAAGGAAGGATGCACAAATCAAGAGTAACATGATGAAACAGCACAAACAGAAATTTAGTTTAGAATTAAGATAAATGTTCTTACTTGAGATGTTGGACAACAGAGTAGTCTCTGCAGGGAAATGGTGGAAGCCCCATGGCTTGAGACAGTGAAAATTAGACTAGAGAAAACACTTGGGGATATATTGAGGGAAGGTCCTGCAGTGATTAGGACTAAATGACCCACTAAGTTTGTTACTGATTTTTAGGACTCTAAGGTGCCTACATCCTTTCTCAGCTATTTTCAAAAATGCCTTGTTAGTGCAGGTGTACAACTTTACCAGGGTGTCTTAGTGCAGCTCTTCAGTTATGAAAATTTCAGCTTGCCAATCTATGTGTACTAGGAGTATGATGATATATTTCAAAATATACGTCCCTTATTTATGTATCAGAAAAACCAAGTCTGGTACTCATCCTCTTTGAATGCTTTGGCCTCTACAAAGACACTGCATCTAATCAGGAATAGTTTGCCCCCAAACTTAAAGCAGATTCCAGGTTTGCACTCTAGCACTTTTGTACGAGTTCACAGCAATAGGCACAGCAGAAAAAGCAGGGGATTGCTGAATTGTCTGATCAGATACTTTCTTCCTGATCATGATTTTGTGAAATGGCCACACACAACTGGTACATGCCTGAGACAGGCCAGAACCAGTTAATAAGCAGCCATGCAAATTAGTTAACACCACTCTTGGAGTAATTTTGCTTCCAGGTCACTCAGAACATTGGCTCCTATTGGATTTTCTTCTTCTTTATCTTTAGGTGGCTCTCTTTTTATTAACAATCAGGCAAAAATGATTATGCACAATGTCTCCAGGCTGCAGCTCCCCTTCCTTCACGATCCCTCTGAAGGAGGTAAGGAAAAGACTAATGGGAAAAGAAAGGGGGTCCTTTTATAGCTGCAGCCTCTTTTGCCTTGGTGATTCTGTACAGGACATTAAGGCTCCCAATAAATTTTTAATAGCCTCGGATTGATGGAAAGATATACCTAAAATAAATATGCACTACCAAATCTCTTGCTATCATAGTTATAAGTCAGCTCTACAATGTTCCAGTTGCATTTTGGTAACATAGCAAAGTATGTTGAATGCCCTCAAATACACAAACCAGATTCTGGGCATTTATTTGGTTTCTTGGGTCTAATTCCACGTGTGGAGCTATTTTCTTACACTACATACCACAGGTTGTATACTTATGCCACTTAGGTTATAGCAATAGAAACTGTTAAAATTATTAAATTTTTAACTAAGCCTTATGCTCATTTCCTGCCCTGGCAAATATAAGACTGCCAGGTAATTTTCTCTCTCCAGATTGCACTCAAGAGTACTAAAATGCACTTGATTTTTCATATTAAAAATGACCATACCTAACTCTGAAGGAAACTGAATGTTACAATATTCACTTTGAAGCTAACAGGCTGGTTAAGCTGAGATAAATTTATGGTCATCAATATCAAATTAAGGACATCATGATTTTAACAAGACTAAAAACAAGAGAATCATACTGTACAGAGTAACAAAAAATATATTAGATCTTGGGCCATATAAAAAACACTAAAATGTCCATTCAAAATTGTACGCTTAAGTGGATGGTTAGCTGTTGTGAGCTTTTTAAAGAATGCTGCACTACAAAAAAAAAAAAAAGAGAAAAAGGAGGCCATTTTTAATAGGAAATTTAATCTGTGCTCTTATTTTGTGAAAATTAAAAGATTATTGTTTTGATCTTTTAAGGCTGCTATCCTGCAGCCACTTATATACCTGCTTAACTTTATGCATAGGAACAATCCCATTACTTGCAATGGAACCACTCACATGCTCAAAGCAACCAAAATTGTGGAACCGCTGCAAAGTTTTGCTGGAATAACTGTTGGCAAGGTGTGTGAAAAAAATCACACATCTCGTCACCATAGTTATACTGGCCAACCCTCTCCCCCCCAGATGTAGACATTGCTCTGTCACAAAAGGGTGCTTCGTTGACTTAATTTTAATGGTTCAGAGTGGTGGTGTGGCTACGACAGCACAGAACTCTTTCTGTCAGTATATTCTGCCCTGCACCTAGGGGGCCTCTACCAACGTACCTGTGCCCGTATAGTTATATCAGCAGAGGCTCTTCTAGTTTAGCTCTGCCTGAATTATGTAGGCAAGTGTTTGTAGAATAAGGGCCCAAGTAAAAACTTGTCATTAAAAAATTGTATAAGAGTGTTAATAGCAAATAATTTTGAATCACTGAAGATTTTCTTGCCTAAGAATACAATAAAAGTATTTCACCATCAATTTAGGATGACTAATTAAAGGGAGGACTGGTGTGTGTGTGTGTGTGTGTGTGCGCGCGCACGCACACACAGATATGTATCTATTTTCCCCTTACTTTTATATATACCTCAACAGAGGGTACAATTAGGAATTCAATAAGACAGCCACTTGTTTTCCAGTGGAGACTAACAGTCCAGGGGTTAGGATGTAATAATAATTTTTCCATTTTAAAAACGATTCTTTAACAAACAGCAGTAGCTTGGTGCAATTTTCAGTTATACAAAACAGCATATTTTCTATGGTACTATCAAAATATTCTGCATAACATTAATCTCTGTGCAGTTATTAACATATATATAGAACAGTGTTTCCCAATAGAAATCAGTATGTTCCTTGCTGATCCTTTGTGCCCTAGATTTACCAAAACCAAACCTAAAATTCATTTTATAATAGTATAAAATCTCAAGAGAGATAAAGGGTTGAAAGTTTATTTCTGAGCAGCAAATGAACAAAGAAACTCCTCCCAGTTAAAGTCAAGCAAGACTTAATTTTAACCAACTGTGGTGAATCCAGGCAAGTCAGGAACATAACACATTTTTGTGATGCATTATGTTGCGTACACAGAAGCAGAGGAATGTAAACAGACAGAAGGCACGTGAAAGGCCCCAATCCATTCTCCACATGAAGGAAGTCAGAATTTCATAATTCGGTCATCAGGAGTCGTTTCATCATCTTCTCTCTCTCAAGTTCACGCCTCAGAGTTTCAGCACTGTGTGATTAATGCACAAACAGCTAATTATGGGGACAACAACATGATGCATCTTTCAATTAAAATATCATTAACATTTTGAAAAGAACAATGGAGGAGAAAAGGTTCAATTTGATTCAATAAAAGTCCAGAAAATGGATGGCTAAATCGCAAGTAAAATTCATTTGACATTTTGAAGAGCAAACCAAAGCAAGAAAATGATAATGATAAAAAATGTAATAAAACATTCCCTTTCTTTTCCCATTAATTGCCAAAGAAACAGAATTAGGAGCTCAGTTTTTTGGTAACTGAGGTAAAAGATATCATAAATGACTTTAAGTGCAGTCTTCCTTCAGCATCTTGATTCTCTAGTTCTCAGCTTTTCCGCTAGTTGGCACTGGAGGAAGTTTCTTTTCTCTGTGTTTGCTACCTGACTATATAGGGGTGTGTGAAGCGGGCCCTATTCAATTCAGATTCAGCCTGAATCAGGGACAGCAATTCAATTTGGTGGTTTGGATCACTGTCCTGATTTGATTCGGCTGGATCTGCATCTGAAGATTTGATGCTGATTTGGACAGAAACACAGCTTTCATAGATTTCATAGACATTAGGGCTGGAAGGGACCTCGGAAGATCATCGAGTCCAGCCCCCCGCCCAAAGGACAGGAAGTCAGCTGGGGTCATTGTATCCCAGCAAGATAAGCATCCAATTTGCTCTTGAAGGTGGTCAAAGTAGGTGCTTGAACCACCTCCGATGGCAGGCTGTTCCAGACCTTGGGGGCTCGGACAGTAAAGAAATTCTTGCTTATGTCCAGCCTGAAATGGTCTCGCAGTAGTTTATGACCATTTGACCTCGTCATCCCTTGGGGCGCTCTGGTGAACAAATGTTCCCCCAGATCCTGGTGGTCACCCCTGATAAACTTACAGGTGGCCATCAGGTCACCCCTGAGCCTGCTCTTTTCTAAGCTAAAGAGCCCCATGGCTTTCAGCCTGTCGTTGTACGTCTGTTTTCCTGACCTCTGATCATGTGCGTGGCTCTTCTCTGGACTCTCTCAAGCTTCTCCACATCCTTTTTGAATTGTGGAGCCCAAAACTGGACGCAGTACTCCAGCTGCGGCGTCACCAAGGCCGAGTACAACGGGAGAATGACATCCCGGGATTTGCTTGAGAAGCATCTATGGATGCAAGCCAGTGTTTTGGTCGCTTTAGCCAGTGTTTTTGTCACCTTAGCCAGCTTTAAAAGTTTTTTCTACATACCTCGAGGAATTGTTACCTCTCAGCTCCGTGTTTCTGGGGAACCCTGGCACAGGAGGCAGCCTGTCTGATTCGCAAAGAATTCCACCCCCACCCCCTCCCCCAAACAAAACTGATTAAGATGCAGTGGGAGACGCACCTAAAACCCTCCAGATAAGGGTGACCATTCATTTACATGGGAGATGGAGAACAGAAAGCCCAAAGCAGAGACCACAGTAAATTCTGGGATCAGAGAAGCAGGGGAGCACTGCATGATGGG